ATCTTGGAGAGGACGCTGTAGAGGTTCAAGGTCGCGACTTTGCTCGACAAGGCTCCGTACACGGCGCTCGGCCGCGGCTTAGTCACGCGGGACCAATTGATGCGGGGTGGCATCATCTTGGCTGGTCGGCGCGGAAGGAAGCGAGTGACGCGCTGAAACATGCTCCAAAATGCAAAGTGGCGTGCGAGAAGCGAGTCAAGAGATCGCAGGTTCGGTGATGGCTCCAGAGGTTACGCACGCTCGCCATCGCAATTCAGCTCAAGCACCAGAGCGTTAAAGAGAGGCCAGCAGTGAATCGAATGACCTCTAGATCCAATCACTTTTGGAGCACCGACAACACCAGTACCTTTATAGCGATGTCGACAAATTCTGCCGAATGAATGAATGAATAGTGGCGGCTCTCACTCGCCTCAGTATATTACTTTGTTTGACCAAGCAAGACAGCCGCAGTAATATGCTTGCTCTCAGATACACTGTACTGTGCCGCCGCTCACACGTTGAGTGCTCACCACCATTGACAGAACATTTACGCGATCACAACCCCTTGGGCCAGGCGTCATTGGTCGACGACATCACGTCGTAATAGTGGAGCGGACGGGCCTGTAGCAGGTTTATCGCGAGTCGAGATAGTAGGCACTCTTCACTTCACCTAGGCACGCTTCACTCCGCCGTCCCAAGAACGAACGATGCGTGCTAGTGGGAGTGATGAGCATGCTGACGTTTGGACCTCGTTCACACCCACTCTGGTCGCACCCAAAATGGCTCTGGACGAAAATGCCAGATCTGGATTCAAGGAGCACCAAATTATCTGGTGTTCGTCTTCACCGCCGCAGGTCACCATGTTGGAAGCCTCGCTCGAGTACCTGCGCGCCAGCGACTAGTTGAGGATATAAAACAGCATCCTGACCTCTCTCTCTAGAGCGTGGTAGTTGAACTGAATCCTTCAGGTCGTGGTTATTCATACAGTTTCGTACACCAGCCCACGTGTTCGCTGTCGGTAGGCCAGCAGCAACGACCACCTCTGCCAAAACAGCGCAAGTATCAATATTTCGTATCAATATTTCGTATCAATATATATCATTCAAGCGTTCGTGGACGACGATCCTTTCAGTAAAACTGGAGTTTGGCCACGGGCGGCACAAACGTCGGGTCAAAGCGAGCAAAGTACGCCTTCCAGAGCCTACACGACGACTGTACTATGAGACAATCTGTAGAGTATCAACCGAGCGCACTTGATATTCTTCCACGTCGTGCTCGGAAAGAGGAGCGTGCGCTGGGGCGCAAATTGTGGGTTGACAAACTTGTCCCGTGACGCGTGAATGTCGGCCCAGATGTTGGCGGCGGCATGGTGCTTGGCGCACTCGAGTCGCGCCTTCTCCGAGTCGAACATAAAGTTGCCATACTTGCACGAGTACACGTGGTCGGCGAGGAGGAGGAGGCAGCTCTCGTTGAACTCGCACTCGGTCTCAAACTGGCGCATGATCTGCCAGACGCAGTCGAGCCAGAGAAGAAAGATCGGCGACCGCTGCTCGTTCGAGACGTCGCTGCGCGCATGGCCGCAGCGCAAGCCAAACTGGTGCCCAAAGCTGCACCATTCCTTCTCGATCAGCACCTACACCGCATTTCATCCAATATTTTTTCAAGTTTTTGACGCAAACCTGAAAGCCAGCCAGCGTCCGGTAGAACGGGTCCAGCATGAGCTCAGCCAGCGATACCATTTGCGGCGTGCGGTCCCAGCCGTCGCTGCAGTGCGTGAGCACCGACACGCCGCTGTGCACGTACTCGGCAAGTTCCCACGACCCGCGGAGCACCTAGTTGTCGTCATTGCCGTCCTCAAATAATGTTTCAACGCCTTCTCAATCCTGTACCAGTCGCACGTGCTTGAGCCAGCCCGAACCGTCGACTTTGGCGAGGTAGTTGTCGTCGCAGAGCGGGTCGAACGCGGCGACAAGCGCTTGGAACGCACCGCGCACCGCGTGAATATTGTCCATGTTCATAAAGACGACTTTGGCGCCGCGGTAGTTGGCCGGACTCTCGGTGCCCTTGCCCATCGCTTTGTTGCCCGCGGCAGCGAGCTGCCCGCGCGCGTCCATGATGACGTATCGATGACTTTGGTACGCGCCGAGGGCGGCCGGGTTCTCTGGCTGGCACAGCAGCCGAACGAGGTCTTCGTCATCACTCGATCGTGCCGACTTGAGTCCGACAAGTGGTTGCGACGAGCGGCAAATCACCGCGCCATTCGTCGGGTGCTGCCAGCACACGGCGGGAAGGCGTCGGCTCGACCGGAACGTGGCGGCGGCCTGGAGCTTGACGTCCGACATGGCGACCGGCACGACGAGGTACCGGGGATACGTGTCGCAGAGCAAGTAGGCTTGGTCAATGCAGCGGAAGCGCGGCCCGAGGAGCCCGAGGCGCTCGTAGTCGTCGCGAATGTCAAACGACGGCAGCAGCTTCGCCGGGAGCAAGAGCGGGCGGTAGACAAAGCAAAACGCATCCGTCAGCGACGCAGGGTACGCCAGCACCGTGAGGCATTTGAACATGCGCGCGTACTCGGCGTGGTTGCGAAAGGTGAACCGGACGCTCTGCGTGTCCTTGCAAACAACGCCGAGCGTGTGCGAGGCCGGCACGACCGCCATATGGTGCGTGCCGGACTCGACCAGCGACGACTCGGCGAGAATCGACGCGATCGAGAGCACCGGCATCTCCCAACGCGACGACGCGCCGGCCTCGGGCTGGAACATGCACCGGTAGTTGGTCAAGAAGAGGCGACCGGCAATGTAGTGGGACGCGCACGTGCCGGACGGCGGGTGAAAGACCGGCGCGTACATGGATGCCTCGACGTGGGCGTAGCATTGTTCGCCCGGGAGAAAGTCAGGTACGACGCCAAACGAACTCAAGTCGTCGATCGCCGATGCATCTGCGGACGGCAAAGCGTCTTCAACATGCAAAAACGACATGATCAGCGGCCGCGGAAGGAGCGCAATGTGCTTGCGGATGTCGTCGGTGGTCATGCCGTAGATCTTGACGCCGTTGACCGACTCGACGAGGTCGCCGACGCGGACGACGCCCGACGCCTCGGCGGGCCCCATTGGCGCCCCCGATGACGCATCCGGCTTGAATTCTTTGACTGCGAGGCGGTTCTCGAATGGGGCTTGCGCTGCGGTCAAGACAACGCCAAGCGACCCGGCGCCAAACTCGACGATATCCATGTCTTCGTGATGCGCCTCGCGGAATGGGTCCAAGAGGAGACGGGCGCTGTCAATGATCTCGGCCGCACTGAGCTCGGCGGGGCGCATGAGCAGCTGGAGACAACCCGTGTTGTCGGTTCCGCGCAGCGTCTTTGAAAAATGAATCAAAATCGCAACGCAGAGGTACGGGAGCAAGGCAAAGCCAATGCGAGACGACGACACATCGCAGGTCGACTCGTGTTCGAGCATGGCATCCCAGACGCGGACGATGTCGTCGAGCGGAAACTCGCGCGCGAGCAGCAGCCGCGTCCAGCGCAAGCAGTACGTTTCAGGGAGCACGTCCACGTCCCGGAGGTGGCACGCGAGCTGCGGGTCGTGCTTGGCCAAAAGGTCGTACTGGATAAACTGGCAGAGCGTCTGAAGCTGCGAAAGCGGCGCGAGTGCGCTGGGTGTCGCCGACCGAAACAAGCTGTCGGCGGTCGTCTCGGACACGGCGTCGTCGCGCGCCAACGTTGTCTGGTGCACGGCGTAGAGCGGCTCCATGGGTCCCATGAGCGCAGCAAAGAGGATGAAGACGTCGTGCTCGGTAAACTCGTCGATCGTGTCTTCCTCCAGTGGCTTGGCCGCTGCATGCACGACGGCGTATAGCACGACGGCCGCGAGGTCGTGCATGCCCTGTCGGTAGCCGACCGCCGGGTGCGTCTTGCACCACACAAATAGCACGTTGCGCAGAATGGCCATGTACGCCGGACGCTCCTGGAAGTACAGTTCGCGGCCTTGCGGGTACAGGCGGTCGAGGTCCGTCTTGATCTCGCGCACGAGCGGCTCGTCCTCGAACGCTTGGTTCCATGGATTGGCTGCGTCGTCGCTCAGCGGGTGGTACTCGCCGGCCTTGAACTGCATTCGGTCGCGCAGTGTCTCGTAGGCCTTGCGCTCGACCTCGGCGCTCTCGACGCGAACGAAGGCCATCCACCGACGCGCGTACCCGTCCATCGTCGTCGGATGATCCGAAATCGAGCTTTTCGATATTGCCGGTATGCAATACGAGAGGTGGCTGTATGTATAATTGTTTGGGATTATAGAATTAAAAAGGCTATATGTAGATAAAGGATGTTGAAGTTGCCCTTTGCATGACATTTGTGGCCAGTGTAGAGGAGGCAGCGGAGGGTAAACACGCGCCAGGAACCGGGCATGTCTTCCCGTGCGCGGGTGCAGGGAATGCGTAATGCAGTCAGAAAGGACAGAAGTGATTCGCTCGAGTGGCCCCATACTGGAGTGAAGCGTGGCTTTGAGTGGACGTCGTGCATGGCGCTCCCAGAATGTGGGCGGATCCGAGCATGCATTGCCCATACCGAACTATACACGCTTGCCCTCAGTAGGTGCAGCACATGCCTATGGGTCCAGCAGAGGTGCTTGTTTGTATTTCGATGATGTGCGTGCGCATCCCATTTGCGGCCAAGCACGTCCACAAAGCTGTCTTCAACGACGAGTGCATACACCGGTGTACCTGGATCCGTGACATGGGTCCAATTACATATTTCGCACTTGTCGCGCCAGCAGCAGCCCGACAGCGACGAACTGTGCCAGCATATCTTTGCAAGCAGCGTTCTTGCACGATGGAAATCAGCTTGGGAATGGATCGCTCCTGTCAAGAGTGACCCTTGCTCCTGTGCTGCTCGTATGGAGAAGCTCGGCATGTTGTCAGCGGCTGTCCAGCGATTCACGCTAGTTTGCATCAGGGTGTTTCCGGCAACCGTCCACCTGCCACATTATCGCATGTCGAATCCTGATATACTTGGTAAACTCTTCAACTGGTCCCATCGAAGTGCGCGCAAAAAACTGGCGCCGGTCCCGCGAGGAACACGCCGCAGACGTCGCAATGGACGACGGGGAAGCTGCACGTCGCTGACGGCGAGTCCGTCGCATCAAGGCGACTGCCTCCCTGCGACGCTTCTTGCGAGAGGCGTGTCGCAGCATCACCTTGTATTTCAGGGTCCCTACTCAAAATAGGGTCACCCCAAACTCTACATTTTGACTTTGTTACCTGTCAGAAAGGCCATGGATTGTGTAGGTCCCCGTATGAGGGGCCCCACAAAACGACCCGTCGCCAGCACCCAAGGTACGGTCGCGCCTCGCGGCTGTTTCGCTTCAAACAAAGTAATTGGCCGCAAATCACACTTTACAAAAGCATGCGCGCAGAAGGTTCGAACAAGTCTTCGACCGATGTGGCCGGTACGAGATACTCTCTGCTGCCTTTGCCGCCGCACAACTCAACTTGCCGCCGCATGCTAGAGTACCGAGAGATGACGGACGGGCCGCAGTTTGCCCGCACCGACCCCACGCGCCTCATTGACCGCAACGGACCGTTCCGGCAGTCGCGTGGCACGTGGAAGTACGCGCACCACCCGCTGGCGATCCTCGTCCTCATCTAACGAACACCGTCGTCGTAGCATTCGCCGCATCCGCACGCCCGAGGCGTGGAAGCTCTACTTCCAGGCGCCGTTCCATACGCTGGTCAACCAGAGCTTCAGCAAGGTGCTGCTGTGGTTCTCGCTCGTCGTACGTCGTATTATCATCTCGCCAACTCGAATCATCATGTGACTCTGGTTCTAGTACCTCGCCCTCATCGGCTTTTACTCGCTCATGTACATGACCGTCCCGAGCCGATGCAACCTCGCGATCAACACGTTTGGCGAGGCGTGGATCTTTTCGGTGAGCGTCATTGCCACGATTGGTTTCGGCACGGGCGGCAACGACATCTTCTTCAACAACTGCGGCAGCGCGATCGTCGCCATCACGACCGAGGTACAGCGTATTCTGCAAGATGAGCGGCTCTTATGTGAGATGGCTAGTCGATGGCCGGTGTGCTCATCAACGCAGTGGTCTTTGGCGTCGTGTACCAGCGGTTTGCGCGTGGCCAGGCGCGTGCGAGCACGGTCGCTGTCTCCAACTACGCGTGCCTCCAGAAGCTCCGCGGCCACCTCTACTTTATGTTTCAGACGTGCGAGATGCGCAAGCACCAGGTATTATTGCCGTTGGAACGGCCAACTCTAATGCCATGGACTCTTAGCTCAACGAAGCCCACGTGCGCTGCTACGCCATCATGCACAAGTCGCGCCACCCACACATGGCGCACCAGATCCACCACGTGCAGTCGTTCCCGATGCGTCTCCAGCACCCGGACGACGACCTCAACGCGTGGCTCATCCTCGCGCTGCCGTCGATCGTCGTCCACCGCCTCGATGCGTGGAGCCCGCTCTTGCCGCCGGAGATGCAGTCCAACACGCCCGAGCACAACCCGGCGATTCACTACCGCTTCCCCGGTACGATGTCCTTTCCCGATCCAGTTGATCGATTGATATGTGCATGTAGAGCCTGTCCAGCGCGCGGCCGACGAAGATGTTGGCAACCGTGAGAACCGTCATCGCCCCAACAAGGGCCAGTTGTTCAACGAAGCCACCGAGGTCGCGCAAGGATCGCTCACCAAGATGGAGATTGACGCGATTCTCGCCTACTGGAAGGAGACGCATGTATGGCATGCTGCAAAATTAGGTATAGAGGCTCATGACGACATCGTGTAGATGGAGATCATCGTGCTCATTGAGGGCATTGACGCGTCATCGTCGGCGACGATCCAAATGCGTCAGTCGTTCAAGGCGTCCGAGGTCATGTTCAACCACCAGTTTGTCAACTGCGTCGACTTTGACGAGGCGTCCGGCGCCGCGGTCATCGACTTTAACCGGTTCCACCGCACCGTGCCCATGGACTCGGCGACGGTTGACGTCCTGCCGTCGCCATCGTCCAAGAACGATTAGCCCAATGCGATGTCCGTCGTCCTCGTCACGTTAGGACCTCGCGTGCTTGCTAATCAGGACTCAATTGTATACTCTTCTCAACTTGTTTCCAGCGTCTTCTACAGCCTCGACGCACTGGTCGATCGATGGTCGAGCGCTTTCTCTGCCACTGGGTGGAGGGCGACGAAGGATCGAGCTACCGGTATACACTGCACATTGTCGAGCCTTTCGTGTTGAAAGATCAACGCCAATATCAAACCAAGCACGTGAGTGCTGCTAGTAGAGGCCGGAAGCCACATTACCTCACCTTGGTCCCTCGAGCAATAGACGTCTGCTGACCAAAGTGTTCGCTGTGTACTGGGACGAAATCACCAGCCAGACACTTCAGCACGACTCAACGCTTCTCTCCTGTGCCGATGTGGTGGTACCGATGGCGAGCAGCGCATGCTGTTCCAGGATGCCACGAGCAAGGATCGACATCAAAAACAGTGTCTCCGAAACACTGTTTTAGCCCAATACTGTGTCTGGGCGAGTTTGGTTTTGCCTTGAATACCGGCATACATGCAGTGTTCAACGGCACAGAATATTACTTTCTGTTTGAAACAGTGCAATGACTCGAGGCACTGGGCGATGCACTTTAAAAATTCAAATAATCGAGTCTGGTCTTCTCAGTATCATAAGTGTATTCATCTCACTGGTTTGGTCGGTGTTATACGCACGTCCTCCTTCCTTTCTCTGCTCCACGCGAGCCCTGCCCACAAGCAGGGACCATGGATCACTGACCATGGAACACTGGCCTCCTTCCTACATAAAAACCGACGGAGTGCACCGAAATTCCATAAATATTGGGTGGTGTTTATAAACACCGATTGGGGTGGACGCGGCGAGGCGTCCGTGAACATGCACAGTCGCCGAAGTGTTTACTTCGACTTCTTGGCGACAGTCTTCTTGACGACCTTCTTGGCAGCAGCCTTCTTGACCACCTTCTTGGCGATAGTCTTCTTGGCAGCAGCCTTCTTGACCACCTTCTTGGCGACGGTCTTCTTGGCGACTTCCTTCTTGGCAGCCGTCTTCTTGGCGGCGGGCTTGGCTGCCTTCTTCACAGGCGCCTTCTTGGCAGCGACGCTCTTCTTGGCAGCGGCCTTCTTGACGACGACCTTAGTCTCCTTCTCAGCAGCGGCCTTCTTGGCCGCGCTCTTCTTAGCAGCGACAGGCTTCTTCTCCGAGGCAGCGAGCTTGTACGAGCCCTTGATCTGGACAAGCTTCTCGCTGTCAACACCAGCCTTAAGGGCCTTGTTAAGCAAGTGGTTCTGGAAATTGTCGCCCTTCGTGTTCTGGACAAACTTGGAGATCGCCTGGCGCGACGAGCCCATGCGCTCGGCGAGAGCAAGAATGGCCTCCTTGATGCAGTCGTAGTACGACGTGCTGGGAGCGGCCTTGGCAACGGCGGCGGCCTTCTTCTTGGGCGCGGCCTTAGCGGCCTTGGTGGCAGGCTTGGCGGCGACCTTGGGAGCGGCCGGCTTGGCCTCCTTGGCGGCGCGCGGCTTCTTCTCCTTCAGGATCGGGGTCTCGACGACCGGAGCGTCAGTGGCGGCAGCGGCTTTGGCCATTGTGCTAGTCGGGCAAATTGAAAAAATGACGTTCGTACAGGAA